GCCCAAGCCCCCCACGCACCCCGCCATGCTTTTCGTGGACCCATGGCTCCTGGTCTGATTCTTCATCCCTTGAGCTGCTCCACCCCCACCCGCAACCCCCACCCCCACCCCGCACGCACCCTGCCCCGCCGCCCGTGCTTGTCATGGGCCCCTTGCTCCCATGGATGTGGCTTCTCAGCTGACTTTAAAGGGCCCAGTGCATGCCCGGGCCCTCCGCCCGCTCCGCCCGCTCCGCTCGCTCCGCCCTCCGCCCTTCCAGCTCCGCCTACTCCCCTCTGGCCCATGCTCCCACTCTCCATCCCCTTGTACCCCTCATGGACCCAGCTCCCTACCCCTTACCCCTCACGCACCCATGCCCCTCATGGACCCATGGCTCCTGGCCCCATGGCTCCCCATGGCTCATGGTCCACGGCCCATGGATGTGGCTTCTCAGCTGACTTTGGCCCCAGTGCATGCCCGGGCCCTCCGCATACATTCCCCTTGCCCAAGCCCCCCACGCACCCCGCCATGCTTTTCATGGACCCATGGCTGAGCTGCCCGCCGCCCGTGCTTGTCATGGGCCCCTTGCTCCTGGCGTCATGGCTCCACCCCCACTCCCAATCCCCACCCCCACACACCCCAACGCACCCCCCCCCACTGGACCCATGGCTCCTGGCCCCATTGCCTCCTGGTCCCATTCTTCATCCCTTGACCTGCATGGCTGCCAATGCTGGTCCTATAAAAATGGCCCCTGCTCCACCCCAACCCCCAACCCCCACATGGCTCCTGGCCCCATTGGCTCATGGTCCACGGCTCATGGATGTGGCTTCTCAGCTGACTTTAAAGGGTTGCAGTGCATGCCCGGGCCCTCCGCCCGCTCCGCCCGCTCCGCCCTCTGCCCTTCCAGCTCCGCCTACTCCCCTCCCGCAACCCCCACCCCCACCCCGCACGCACCCTGCCCCGCCGCCCGTGCTTGTCATGGGCCCCTTGCTCCCATGGATGTGGCTTCTCAGCTGACTTTAAAGGGTCCCAGTGCATGCCCGGGCCCTCCGCCCGCTCCGCCCGCTCCGCTCGCTCCACCCTCCGCCCTTCGAGCTCCGCCTACTGGCCCATGCTCCCACTCTCCATCCCCTTCACCTACCCCTCATGGACCCAGCTCCCTACCCCTTACCCCTCACGCACCCATGCCCCTCATGGACCCATGGCTCCTGGCCCCATGGCTCCCCATGGCTTATGGTCCACGGCCCATGGATGTGGCTTCTGACTTTAAAGGCCCCAGTGCATGCCCAAGCCCTCCGCCCGCTCCGCCCGCTCCGCCCGCTCCGCCCTCCGCCCTTCCAGCTCCGCCTACTCACTCTCCTTTGGCCCATGCTCCCACTCTCCATCCTTGACCTACCCCTCATGGACCCAGCTCCCCCTCACGCACCCTGCCCTGCCGCCCATGGCTCCCCTCCGCCCCTACCCCCACCACCCATGCACCCGCTCCCCGCCCATCCGCCCTTCCCGCTCCCCAACCATGGCTTGTGGTCCCATTCTTCATCCCTTGAGCTGCTCCACCCCCACCCGCAACCCCCACCCCCACCCCGCACGCACCCTGCCCCGCCCCTTGCTCCTGCCGTCGCTCCACCCCCACCCCCAACCCCCACCCCCACACACCCCACCCTTTCCACACTTCCAACCCCCACCCCCACCCCCCACGCACCCCGCCCCCCCACTGGACCCATGGCTCCTGGCCCCATTGGCTCCTGGTCCCATTCTTCATCCCTCGACCTGCATGGCTGCCAACGCTGGTCCTGTATATGGCCCCTGCTCCACCCCAACCCCCAACCCCCACCCCCATACCGTATGTACGCTGCCACCCCCAACCCCCAACCCCCACCCCCACACACCCAACACTTCCAACCCCCACCCCCACCCCCCACGCACCCCGCCCCCCACTGAACCCATGGCTCCTGGCCCATTGGCTTGGTCCACGGCCCATGGATGTGGCTTCTCAGCTGACTTTAAAGCCCCAGTGTGCCCGGGCTCCCGCCGCCCGCTCCGCCCTCCAGCTCCGCCTACTCGCCTCTGGCCTATGGGACCCAGCTCCCTACCCCTTACCCCTCACGCACCCATGCCCCTCATGGACCCATGGCTCCTGGCCCATGGCTCCCCATTCCTTGTGGTCCACGACCCATCTCCGCCCCTACACCTCTACCCTTCACGCACCCCGCCATGCTTCTCATGGACCCATGGCTCTTGACCCCATTCTTCATCCCTCGACCTGCATGGCTGCCAATGCTGGTCCGAAAAATGGCCCCTCACCCCCAACCCCCCCCACCAGCACCCTGCCCCGCCGCCCACGCTTGTCATGGACCCATGGCTCCTGGCCCATGGCTCCACCCCCACCCCCACCCCCACCGCCCCCACCCCCACCCCCACCCCGCCCCCCACTGGACCCATGGCTCCTGGACCCCATTGGCTCATGGTCCACGGCCCATGGATGTGGCTTCTCAGCTGACTTTAAAGGGCCCCAGTGCATACCCCACCCTTTCCACCCTTCCAACCCCCACCCCCCCCCCACACCATGGCTCCTGGCCCCGTTGGCTCATGGTCCACGTCCCATGGATGTGGCTTCTCAGCTGACTTTAGGGCCCCAGCGCATGCCTGCCCCCTCCGCCCGCTCCGCCCGCTCCGCCCTCCGCCCTTCCAGCTCCGCCTACTCCCCCCTTGGCGCATGCTCCCACTCTCCATCCCCTCGACCTCCCCCACCCTATCCCCACCACCCACGCACCCCGCCCCCGTTCATCCGCCCTTCCCGCTCCGCATACTCCCCCTCTTGCCCAAGCCCCCCACACACCCCGCCATGCTTCTCATGGACATGGCTCCTGGTCCCATTCTTCATCCCTCGACCTGCATGGCTGCCAATGCTGGTCCTATATATGGCCCCTGCTCCACCCCCAACCCCCCCTCGCTTCCTCGCTCCCTCACTCCCTTTGCCATGCTCTCACTTCCCCGCCCTTTCTTACTTTCACTCCCCATTTCACCCCACTCCCACGCTCCACCCCCACCTGCGCCCTCCCCATCCCTCACTCTCAGCTGACAGAAAAGGGCCCCAGTGCATGCCCGCCCCCTCCGCCCCTCCGCCTACTCCCCTCTGGCCCATGCTCCCCCTCTCCATCCCCTTGACCTACCCCTCATGGACCCAGCTCCCTGCCGCCCCTACCCCCACCCACGCACCCCGCCCCCCGCCCATCCGCCCTTCCCGCTCCGCATAATCCCCCCCAATGCCCAAGCCCCCCACGCACCCCGCCATGCTTGTCATGCGCCGCCCATGCTTGTCCTGGATCCATGGCTCCTGGCCCCACGGCTCCCCCCACCCGGCCCGCTCCGCCCTCCGCCGCCTACTCCCCCCTTGGCCCATGCTCCCACTCTCCATCCCCTCGACCTCCTCCCCCGCTTGGCCCGCTTGCCCTACCCCACCACCCACGCACCCCCGCCCATCCGCCCTTCCCGCTCCGCATACTCCCCCCCCCCTTGCCCAAGTTCCCCACGCACCACGCCATGCTTCTCATGGACCCATGGCTCCTGGTCCCATTCTTCATCCCTCGACCTGCCTGCCAATGCTCCCCCCCTTGCCCAAGCCCCCCACGCACCCCGCCATGCTTCTCATGGATGGCTCCTGGTCCCATTCTTCATCCCTCGACCTGTGTGGCTGCCAAGGCTGGTCCTATATGGCCCCTGCTCCACCCCCACCCCCAGCCCCCACCCCCACCCCGCATGCACCCTGCCAGCCCCAACCCCCAACCCCCCCCCCACCCCCCACGCACCCTGCCCCCCACTGGACCCATGGCTCCTGGCCCCATTGGCTCATGGTCCACGGCCCATGGATGTGGCTTCTCAGCTGACTTTGGGGTTCGGGTTTGTGGTTTCGAGTTTGGGGTGTACGACGAGGCCTCAGGTTCAAGTCTCCTGGTTACGGGGGTTTAGGGTTTGGGGGCTTGGGGCTTCAGGGTTGCGGGTTTCGGGTTTGCGGTTTGCGGTTTTAGATTTGGGGTTTAGCCCCAACTCCCTGCGCATCAGGGCTCCATGTTTCGCCCCCCTGAACTCTACAACCTGACCAAGCCCTGCGCATATATATCTATATATATATATATACATATATATATACATAATCCGCGGCCGGAGCCCACAGTGCCTTGGCCCCCCTTGGAGGGGGTCGGCGGCACTGGCGGTAGCCATTAAATCGGGCAGCGCGAGGTCCCCAAAGGACCGAGCAAATGCGGACCTTTTAGCCCGGGTCGTCCCGGGAATAGCCTTGCTGGCCTCTGGCCTTCTGCGAAGCAGAATTAGGCCGGACGCCAGTGCCGCCGACCCCCGCGTGCCGCCGGTGAACGGTTTTTTTTTCGTGGTTTTTTGCGTCGCCACGGAGGCCCCCAGAGGGCGCGCATCATGAGCATCAGCGGGTCCAGCCCGGGACCCCCAGGCGCGCATCAGGAGCATCAGCGGCTCCCGGGGCGGGACCGCGGGGGGGCATCAGGAGCATGATGCCCCCCAAAGGGCGGGCATAAGCGACGTGTCTAAGCCCGGGGCTAGGAAAAAGGGAGTTTAGGGGCCTTATAAAGTGCTTAGAAACGTTAAGGGAGTTTCGGAGCTCAAACGCTTAGAGATTTGAAGGGAGTTTAGGGGCCTGAAAATGCTTGGAAACTTTGAGGGGGTTGAGGAGCCTCAAACGCTTAGAGATTAGGGGCCTCAAAATGCTTAGAAACTGCTCGCCCCGCGCTTCTGCCTGCGCTGCCCGCCCATGGGCGCAGCCCCTTAAAATAATATTACATAGATGTCACAAATATTCTTGATGCTGAATCGGAAAAACCCAAGGGGGATACCTTACTAAACCCTAAACCCTAAACCCTTAACCCTTAAACCCTAAACCCTAAACCCTAAAACTTGTGGTGGTGGTGGTGGTGGTGGTCATGCAACTGCCATACCATGCTGGGCTACACACTGCACTGCACTGCACACTGCCTTTTTTCTTCCGCTGCTCATGCCCACTGGGTCAAACTGCTCGTGTAGCCAGCCGATGTCCTCTCAGCCCGGTCCCTGGCCTTCATTTCATCCCTCCTCCTCTTCCTCACCTCCTTCTCGGCCTGGTACTTGATCTTCCACTTTAGCTTCAAGGCTGCCTTCCTCTCCTCTTGTTTCTTTCGCCTCGCCAGGTCCTTCTCTTTCTTCTCCTTCTCCCTTCTCCTGTTCCTTTGTCGCCTTTTCTTTGCTGTTTCTTGTTCCCTGGTCCGGGTCCTCTTCTTACTCTTCTTCTGCTTCTTCGGCTGTTTCTTCGGCTGCTTACCCTTGGCCTTCTTCTTCAAGTCCTTGGCTTTCTGCTTGGCCCTGTTCTTGGCCAGTTCCTCCGCCTTTGCAGCCTTCTTTGCTTCCACTCACTCTCCAGCCCTGGGCTGCAGCTGGGAGCCATTCTGCCTTGAGACACTTTCAGGTTTGAGCCAGAGAGCTACATGACAGCAGGGGCCTGGGGATTGAACCAGGGACCTTTGGGGTGCAAGCCATGTGTGATTAACCACCACGCCACAGGCGGGCCTTACCCCCCCTCCCTCCCCCCTCCCTCCCCCCTCCCTCCCCTCCCTCCCCCCCCCCCCCCCCTCCCTCCGCCTCCCCCCCCCCCCCCCCCCCCCCCCCCCTCCCCCTCCCCCCTCCCCTCCCCCCTCCCCCCTCCCTCCCCCTCCCCCCTCCCCCCCTCCCTCCCCCCTCCCTCCCCCCTCCCTCCCCCCTCCCTCCCCCCTCCCTCCCCCCTCCCTCCCCCCTCCCTCCCCCCTCCCTCCCCCCTCCCCCCCCTCCCCCCCCTCCCTCCCCCCTCCCTCCCCCCTCCCCTCCCCTCCTCCCCCCTCCCCCCCTCCCCTCCCCCCTCCCTCCCTCCTCCCTCCCCCTCCCCCGCCCTCCCCCTCCCCTAAACCCTAAGAACAAAAAAAAAACTGTACCCTAAACCCGAAAAACCCTAAGCCCTAAAAACCATTGAGCCTTACCCTAAACCCTCTAACTGGACTCTAAACCCGAAAACTCTAAACCCCAAAAATCCCTACACCCTAAACCCTAAAAACCCCCAAACCCGAAACCCTTGTCCCTAAAACACCCTAACCCCTAAACACCCCTGAGCCCTAAGCCCTAAGAAACCATCAACCCTAAAATGTCCTAAACCCCAAAAACCCTTAAACCCTCAACCCTAAAAAACACTGAGCCCTACACCCTAAAAAACCCTAAACCCTAAAACCCCTTAAGCCCTAAACCTTAAAATCCCCCAAACCCGAAACCTTAAAGAATCTTAAGCCCTAAACCCTAAAAAACCCTAAACCCTGAACCTTAAAAGCCATAAACCCTAAAAATCCCAAGCCCTAAACCCGAAAAATAACCTTAGCCCTCAACACTAAAAACCCAAAACCCTAAACCCCAAAAACCCCCTCGACCCTAAATCCTACAAATCCATCTAAACCTCAGGGATTTAAATTTAAGAGGCTTCCTAGCTAACATTGACGATGAAACAGGAATTGTCTGTGAATCATGGATTCCGGGGTGTCCGGACTCGCCCCGCGGCTACTCCCAACACGAAACCTCACCCATTCCCAACACGCCGGCGCCCAACACACCCCAGTTGCACACGCCACACATGCCTAGGTGTCAGAGTGAGGCATGTCGGCAGACCGCCCGGCCTTTTGGAATAGTGTGCTGCGCGGAAGTTTTCCTGAATCAAGAGACAAGAGAAGCCTCTGCAAAAGCGAACATGCGCACAAAGGACTTCGCATAAATGCTTCGGCACTGCACTTAACACCGCAGCAGTCACACGAAGTCTCCGTCTTGCAGGCGAGTATCACTCTCAAGTACCCTCCGTCATGAGCACATAGTCGGATGGAAGTATCTTGCACTGTTGCACGACGTTGAAGGCCATACCTCGACACGAGAAGCGCCCCAAGGGCACCAACCTCGAAGGCCTAAACACGAAGACAAAGCTGCAGAGGCTGCTGCCTTTGTAGAGTCTGAGTATGTCTGAGAAAGTGGAGCCAGCCCTGAAAGAACATGAAAACCACGGCAACCAGCAGCCAACGGCAGGCAAGCGTCGGCTTCTGACTGACAGAGAGCGCCTCACGTGATCAGCGTCAGCAGGCGAGATGACGCGAAACGTCGCTGAGATCAGCACTGCGGGATAAATCTGCGTGAACTTCGGCATGAAGACCTGAGTGGGCTGAGCCAAAGTTTGGCCAAGGGGTTTCACACCTCTCTACGAAGAGCACTCTCAGACTGAGAGACTACCCTTTGCATTTTGCAAACAGTTACTTGAGTTACTTATTGAGTTACTTATCTTACTTTGCTTTGAGGCAGGGAGGGCGCGCTCTGAGCGGTCCAAGCGCCCTGCGAAGCCGAAGCCATCGATGGGGGCGCCCAGGCCAGGCCAGAAGGGAGGAGCCCGGGATCGGGTCGTGGCCTCTCAGTTCCCGAGAATCAACTCACAGTACAGTGGCTCAACAAAAGCCTCAACAAAAGGCTGCTCAATACTTCAAGGGCTTCGCCCAAGGAGTTTAGGCTCCGGGCATATGACTCAAGCATATGGTGCGCCAGGCTCGAAATCGTCAGGCCAGCATGGTGTCCCAGCCACTCCTACACGGAACAGAATTATGTGGGGTTTTCGAAAATAGGGGTAAGGACTACATAGAATTTGGTGCTTTTAAGGAGTTACCCCCCAATTTTCGGAAATCCCCCATGTGTAGCAAGTAAGCCCGAACATCCCTCGCTCAATATCGATCACTCCTGGAGATGCATCCATCGGAAACCGCAGGTCCGCGGGCCTCCAAAGGTTTGCTAGGCTTTTGTGCTTAGGGTTTAGACAGTTTAGAGAAGAGTTTGAGAGAAGAGCCTTCCCACTCCCTGGTTTGTGGCTTGTGCATGAGTGTGTTTCTCTGAGTAGACAGGCTTTTTTTTGGCACGCTTCCGCAAAACAGTGCCTGTCCGCGACAACTTTCCACATCACCTTTCCGCAAGAGCTTTCCGCAACGAGCTTCGAAATGGCTTCCGCAAATCCCATCCCGATCATTCCGCAAGAGCCTCAGTCGTGTGGAGGCTTCCGCGAGAGCTTTCCGCGAGGACAATCCGAACGTACAGGGGTTTCTTGTCAGCATGTTCATTTGTGGGCAGGTCGATATTTTCCAGGGACATCCTTGCTGATGTTCGTTTCCTCCAGTCCGTCTCGTCTGCTACCATCACACAGACCGCTGGACTCGTTTTACATTTCTCTTTGGGGATTCCATGATGTGAGTCCGGCCCGAAGCCTGCAGGTCATGATGCAGGGAGAGCGTGAGGTCTCCCTTCAGGGTGGTACATCGAAGTCTTTCGATACCGCGATGAATGCTACTTATGTTGCATCCGAATACATCCGAATCGAACGCTGACATATCGCCACCGATGCGAAAGCACTTGGAAATCATGTTTTTCGTCTGCAAGGTTTGAGCTTGCAAAGGCAGCCCAGAAGCGACAACAAGGGCCAAGCTAGATTCCCACCATTGAGGCAGAACATGTGGTGTCCGGTGGTAACACAGCTTGAACAGACAAACAGCCCAAGCCCTCTCTACATATGCCCAAAATGGACCCCGCCCACCTAGAAGCATTCCACGCAAGCTCGGAGGCTTGGGACATCGAGCTCGGGCGACATGGAGCCGAGAGTCCGTGATCACCAGCCTCGAGTCCCAAATGTGCTCAGAAGAAAAGCAAGCCCCCTCAACCCTAAAGGCCCTAAACCCTAAATTTAAAGCCTAAAGCACGCGGATCCTCTCGCTGCCACCGCGGTGCAGAGAGGTGTAATCGAATGGGTCGGTAAAATGTCCCACGCAGTTTAGCCTCAGCCAGCAAGCCCTCCTTATCAGGAAACCACGATACTGACACTTTAACCGAGACACTTCCACTCCCAAATGAGTTCTTCATCTGGGAGTATGATGTCCTCTTTCGCCGTGAGTCCGAAAATCTCGGCGATGCCCAAAGACGCAGCCTGGCGCTCAGTCAAGTGCAGCACTAGTTTGGTGAACAACAACTCGTTGGAGACAAACCAGGGCATGCGCTCGAAGACCGCGCGTCTTTTTGGCTTCGATCATCTCGCTCATGGCCTCAGTTGAGGAACAGCAAAGAGAAAGCTCCTGGTCTGCAGAAAATGAAAGCTGCAACAAGAAGTGTGCAAAAGCAAAGGGTGCTCAAAGCGTCTGGCACGGTAGGCCACCACAGCCTCGCCGTTCGTGCGCCGGATTTGGAGGAGCCCATGCTCTCCTCCAAAAACATCGCACTTCAGCTCATTGCTAACGTAGCAATGCAGGCAATGCACGTGGCCCAAGTCTTCGAGGGCCTGGAGTCCATGATAACAAATTCCTACAAGGCAGGAGTAAGGCGAGCGCCTCGCACTGACACGGTACCTCTTCGCCAAGGGTCTCTGCACCACGTCCTGTCTTTAAGAAAGTCTCTTTGTGCGCAACCCGCGACCCCTCCCATGTCTCGCAGGTGGGTACATACAGTTCAGTGGAAGTGGATTGAAGGTCAGTCATACATCAGCACATTATCGCACAGCTGCAGATGTTGGATGGCAAGCCACCGGATCCAGTCCGCCCAGATCGGTTTCAGCGGCATGTCCATTTGGACATACACGGCCTGCGAGGGCTTTTGGACATCGTGACAACGTGGCTTCAGCATATTTCATAAGCCCACACGCCTTGCCGACGAAGAACATGTCCAGCCGGAGATCCGTTCCGCCAAAGAAGTGCGGGCAAATACTGGGAGACCAAGTTGCAGTCTCTCACTGTGAAGCTTCTGAAGCAAGGAGCTCAGTTAAGGTGCTAAGACGGTGACAACCCAAGTCCAGTCGGCGGTGTTCTGGACAGCTGGATAACTCGATTAGTGTCGGTTGTGACCTGACGAAGACCACAGAAAGACAAGTAGATGGCTAATGCTCGCATCTGCTGGGCAGTGCGATTGCTAATGCTTGGTGCTTTAACACTCCGTGTTGGTAGTGGACCATCTTTAAAGAACACATAATTAAACATGTGAAGAAGCAGAACCTAAATATCAACAGTCATACGAATCTTTTTAACATTCCGAAGACAGACAACGACTGTTTTCACACGATGAAGCATTCAGTAAGCAGGGCTCTGCCTGAATTAATGCAAGTGCACCGACTGGCAACCCGGAGTATCCGCAGCGTTTGCGTTGGCAGCAACTTGAACAGCGGCAGCAAACATGATGGAAGCATTCGTTTTTTGAATCAGGGAATTTGTTCCGGATTAATGATGCCGTGAAGCCATGAAGTATGATGCTTGTTCAGCAGCCCGATATGTGTGAGACAAGGTTGCTGGGTTCAAATCCGACATGCTTGTTCGAAAGAATATGGAAAATGGTGTTTGCTCACAGCTTCGCGTCGATTACATTCGAAACTTCAAGCACCATATCAGCAAGGGCATAACGCAGGGTGTGGCAGACGGATATTGTTGGATCTATGGCAGAGTCAGGGCTTCAGGATGTACAGCGGGCATGGGGTGGGGGGATGAAAGCACGTTGGCTAGAGCAGCGCACGGCAACAAGCCAGCGGTACTGGCGAGACGCAGGGTCTGATGATTGCGTGGTGCTTCCTTGCCCCAGTATGAGGAGCTCTCACCTTTCGGCCTCCGTCGAATCCTGGACTCGAGCGGCCGACTAGTGCACCCGACGTCTCTCGCCTGAACTCAGTGATGAGAAGTGAAGAACTTTCGCCCGCTCTGCCTCTTCGCCTTCTCATATCCCTCGGTCTCTTTGACACAGGCGACTGCGCCACGCAAGAGCAAAAAATGCTGGCAGGGTTCTCGCCTGGATATGAACGAAAGCGGATCGTCTGACCCAGCAACTCCAGCAGCGTCTGGAAAACCCCCGAGGCCATCCCCGGGCCAGATCACATACAATGATCCACATCGACTCCCCCGATTCTTAACACAGAAAGTACTCAGCAAGCGAAACTCGAAAAGATAAGGCACAGGTTTCCGAAAGTGTCGAGACAAGCACTAGGGCACCAAAAATATGAGGCCTACGTCTCCAAAACAGTGCCAGTATAGTCTATAGTTATGAGTTATGAGCCCAGAACAGCAATCGATTGCTGAGGTTCGAGCACACAGGCACTGCAGCTCCGAGCGCAGCTTAAAGTAGACGTAGGACAGTAAGCAGCCCGGAACCTGAACATTGAGCCACCACATGTGGGCCATGTATGCAAGGGCACAAATACCATCGTCCCGGGTCATGAGAGAAATAGCCGGCTGCTATCAAGCTCTTCTTACTCGGCCTTTTTTCATGCCACTCCAGCCAGCGCCTATGCAGCACATGCTCATACCACTTCAAAGTCCAAGGTGCGAGGAGGTAAAACATAAACCTGCCCGAGTCATGGATTCAAAAAAGCTCTCGCTTGCCATGCTTCTTCGTGCTTGAGGCTTGTGGAGGCAGCCGCTGCAAACGCCCTCTTGAAAGCCAGCTGCGATACGAGACCGAATCATCTCTAATGACTCTAATCCCAGTCTCGCCCAAGCCTCGAGAAGCTCGCACGCATGATGTCCTCGGACAAGGCTCGTCGGCCATTCAAAGCACAGACACTGGGTTTTGGCCCAAGCTTTTTGAAGGGATCCTGCGGGAAACCTTGGCACCTGCTCGCACGAAGCCAAGCATTCACAGATTTGTGCAGGCGCAAGATTCCGGAAGCAGCCACTCCAGAAGCGCCAGCCCGAATGCATAGAGAGCAACCTGAGGGCGTCAAAGAGTCACGGCAAACTGCGCTGAGGGAGGCGCTCTGAGGCGTAGAGGGCTCCTAGACACTGCTACCCGGTCCCACTCCGGAAGCATGGAATCAGCTACACTCTCACGCACTCGAACCCGGACGTGATCATCACGTAAAAATGGCCTCTGCGACGTTCTTCGCAAATTTTGCTAAGGCTTCGGCAGACAGCAGAAAGCTCCAGAGGCTGTGGCGCTGCGTTTCCTCTGAAGCCCCCAAGTCTAGCGCAGCTCTCGACAGCGCAGAGGGCAGCACACGCTTCGCGCAGATCTTTGCGGATCTTTGCACATCTTTGCACCAGATGGACTATGAAATCCTTGAACTTTCCTCTTGCTGCAAGTGCGAGTGAGGCTCATTCCAAACAGCAGCAACCTTCTCACCCGGTCCCATTCCAAGCAGTCGCTTGTCTACATAACCTCGGCTGCTAAGAAATCTTGAGACTTCAGGTGCACATGAAGTGCACGTTCAGGCACACTGCTCACTGAAGAGTGGCAATGTTGTCGAGAGCTGTCCACCATGTCATAAGTGTCATAGTCTTCGCTCTCCACCGGCCTGAAGATTGACGAGTGCAGTCCAAAGCGCCGAGAAGTAGATATGACATGATATGACGCTTCGGCAGCAATTGGACTCGTTTGGACACTTGTGGCATGTTGTGGCTGAGCGGCTCCACGCTGAGGTTATCCTGAGTTCATTGAAGCGTCAGAACATGCCGAGGCCTGGCCCGGCCTGGCCCCCTCTCAGGCGTTTCAGGCCCTGCACTTTCTCCAAAGCTTGACCCAAGGAGCTCGGTGTGCAAGTCCCGAGAAGGAGGACGCCTCCTCACACGTCACCGAACAAGCGCAGGGGAGAGAGGTCACGAGGTCACGAGGTCACGAGGTCACGAAGTCACGAACTGCACCCAAGGAGTGCCTCCGTGTCTTCCCAGACGTCCTTTGCGCCATCATCTTGCTGGCGAGTCCGGGAATGCACGTCCTCTCTGTGCGCAAGCTGGATGGCATTGAGCCGGTGGAAAGAGCTCCATGTAGCACAAGAGAGAACATTGAAGATTGACATTACGCAGAAGCGCTAGTCGACATAAGCGCCGGGCCCAGCAGCTTCGGATGAACTGAACGTATGCCTCACCATCGCTTCAGGCACTAGGCCGCCTAATCTTTTCCTTCCAGGCCGTTTTTGGTCTGACTTCTGGTACCCCCGACATCCCGCGCGTTGGGGGCAGAGGCTCAAGGGGCAGCGACCCGAACGACGCAAAGCCTCGATGAGTTAGGCGGCCCAGTGTTTTTCGAAACGGCAAGCCTTCATGTCCCCCAAGTTCCGAGCAAGTTTCTAGTGCTGGCGCGGATTCTTAGAACCATAGGGACCCTAGAGGTTAGCTAGGATCCCTGGAAAATCCCTTGAGGACCGCATGGTGATGAAACTACAAATAGGGGGACCGCGGGAGTGCACTGTTCAGCTATGTTTCCTCCCACGACACCCCTTGCGTGTATGGGAAAAATGGACGAAAGTGGGAAACCAAATACAAACATATACAAACAAAAACAACCACAGACTCCCAGATTATTGTTCCTTGGAATTATTTTGGTCTTCCTACAAGCAAGGGGGATCGTGGAATGAAAAATAGCAGAATGCGCCCTCCCATGCTCCCAGTGCCTTGCGTGCACGAAGGACAGCTATTGGCGGAGCCCCGTGCGCTGAACGTCCACTTTCCCTGGGTGATTTCCACGGTCTCAAGAACATTCGGCGAAACAAGGCGTTCGCGCTTGTAAGAGCTCATGCTGAGCGGCTTGCGTGAGTGAGATGGGAAATGTGAGAAGGCATGGTCAAGACAATCCCGCTCCTGGACCTTCTTTTGTGTGTTGTTGTTGGGGGGGGGGGGGGGGGTTTGCTTTCTCATAAAGGACTGTCGCTCGAACAATGTCGCGTGCACTGCGCTTGAACCGAAGAAAACGGTACAAAAAATCTTCTGGCACTCTCCAATCAAAGTTTTAAATGGCAAGGAGTCCATGTTCTTTAATATTGAGTTTATTATTGCCAAATTCTCCTCAGTATTCTCGACATAATGTCATACTCTTGTTTGCCATGAGATTTCCACAAATCCGGCCTTGGCGAGGCAACAACCACATTGGGCACGGAAAAGACCTTCTTCTTGTTTGATGAAGGACAGCCATTCGGACCCTTGTGCATCTGTTGCTTTCTCTTGTGTTTCCTTCGATGAAATTTCATGTGTTTGATACTTGTAAAAATCAGAAAACACATATACTGAATGATACAAGCTGGTATACTCGAGCACAGTAGAAATTATTTGGGTATGCATTAGGCAAAGTCACGTAGGTCGTGGAGGTCTTGGAATTACAGGTAAACACGACATGCATCCTACCAAGTACTGTCGGATCCAATAACGGCTGTCCTTGGTATTCTGTTGAGGTCTAGCGATGTTTTTATGCGGATTCTAGATACAACTCCAAATACAATCCAGTTCAAGTCGAGCCCCACATAGCAGCATACAGAAATGCAGAAAGAAAAAAACCATATATGTACACACACGCATATCTTCACGTTTGTGTACATATGTGTATGTACGTATATATATATATGTGCACGAAGATACTACTTCCTTCCTTGCTTGAATTCAACAAAAGCGATTCTCAATGAGTTGAAGATTTGAAAATTCAGGTGGACCCGTGTAAAGATCATAGTTGTGCAAGAACTTGCGCTACAATGTGAATGCTTTCTTTCAGAAGAATACTGAACCTAAGACCTTATTGTAATCGGGAAAGTCCCTTGTCGAAGTCCCGTATTCAAGATACTGCGCATAGTCCAATCAATCATATAGTTACGAAACGAAGAACATTGACAGAAGGGAGGCAACAGCAGCCACAACAACAACAAAGAGCGCATGACTTCGAGCATCCCTCCCGACAAGCAGGATCCAGAGCTTGCTGATGTCGCAATATACTGATTGGACTACGGATGTTCACACACAGATAAACAACAATTGAATATTGTTGTCTTAGGTAAACTTAGGTATTCGCATATTTGCTACTTCTTGAGACGTCAAGCAAGACATATGAGACACGTCGAACAAGCTCAAAGTACCAAAAAACTACACTTCCAGAGTCCCCAGACTCAAATTACAAAGCAGCTCTGAAAGGCTGCTGTCTTCTTGGAGAG